CATTTTTTTCATTACACTTTCAACTATTTATATATATTTTTTTGTATATTATAAAATTACAAGTAGAGGCGATTAAATAAATAGTGTGATCTATATTACTAAATAATATAAGTAAAAATGCGACTTTTAACAAATTTCAAATAACATTAAAAGTGTATTAATAAATGTACATTGTTAGCATTTTTATGCATATATAATATATAATAATTTACATTTACAAATCACAACTTAATGAAATCCATATAATAAAAAAACATAAAAATTTGATATAATTAAACAAAATTTAGAAGTTCTTTATATAATAACATAAGATGAAGAGCATATCATATATACCAAAAAAAAGAAATCACCACCTAAATGTTAAAATACATTATATCACATATTATTATTATTATGTTAACATAAGATTTTATATGTATTTATAATTTTCGATAAAGATTAATTGTTACTTTTAATAATGACGAATACTCTGTATTCATATTATGCTTAAAAAAAAAATCTCCTCACATAAAACATTGAAACTTGTTATTTATATATATTCTCATCCTTCCTCATCATCACATAATTTTTCTTTTTCATTTTTCAAATTTTGGGTTAGCGGGTACTCAGTTCTTGTTGTGCTCAGTGTGTAGGTATCTTCTAAAGTCCCACATCGAGTAGTTTTGAAGAAGGGAAGTGATAGACTATTACTATAAATAAAGGGTGGTAATTTGGGTCTACTTACCACAACAACACTAGTCTTCGGGTGTATTAGGGACTTGGGTAGTTGTGTGTCAAGAGAGTTTGCAATTTTTCCGTGCAAAAATTGTGTGAGAGGGTTTACAATTTTATCCTTGTAAAAATTGTAAGTGGAGAAATAAAATAAGTTGTTTGTGGATGTAGGCATGAAGTGTCGAACCACGTTAATTTTTGAGTTTGTTTCTCTATTTTTGTTTCTCTCGTGTGTGTGCTTCCGCTGGTGAAGGTTTTTCTTTTGCCTTTGGTACCCAACAAGTGGTATCAGAGTCAGGTTGGTGAAGGGAGGAAGAGAAGCAGTGTACCAGATGGTTTTCAAGTTTCGCCAAAAAAACTTGTGAAAAGATGGTTTTCAAGTTTCGCTATAAAACTTGTGTAGAGAGGATTTCCAAGTTTCGCCGGAAAACTTGTGAGAAAGGGTTTTTCAAGTTTCGTCATAAAACTTGTGAATGAGGGTTTCCAAGTTTCGCCATAAAACTTGTGAATGATGGTTTCCAAGATTTACCAGAAAACTTGTGAATGATGATGGATTAATGTGAGACTTTGGATGAAGGGAAGATATGTTGTGCCCAAAGTGTGTGGGTATCCTCCAAAGTCCCATATCGAGTAGTTTTGAAGAATGGAAGTGGTAGACTACTACTATAAATAAGGAGTGATAATTTGGGTCTACTCACCACAACACTAGTCTTTGGGTGTATTGGGAACTTGGGTAGTTGTGTGTTAAGAGAGACTTTGCAATTTTTCCGTGCAAAAATTGTGTGAAGATTTGTAATTTTATCCTTGTAAAAATTGTAAGTGGAGAAATAAAATAAGTTATTTGTGGATGTAGGCATGAAGTGTCGAATCACGTTAATTTCTGAGTTTGTTTTTCTATTTTTGTTTCTTTCGTGTGTGTGTTTATGCTGATGTAGGCTTCTTTTCCCAACACTCCTGACCCCTGTATACAAAAAGTATAACAAAAATAATTTTGGGTCTAAATTTTATTTGTCCAACTCATTTGATATTGGATTAGTTGTATCTATTAAGTTCACTGAATTCGACCCATTTTGACACAAACGAATTCTCATCTTTTTAATTTGAAGCGACTGGAAGATTATGCCAATGATAATTTATTATGACGAATCTAGCAGCAACTAAAAAGGAATATAAACATTACTGCAAGGGTGATATGTGTCAAGGGATATTACAGATATTTGTTTTTCTTACATGAGAGGAAATTTGACTACTTTGGAGGGAATGGTTTAAAAATATAACGCATATTGAAGGGAGGGGACAAGGTGGGTCACCTTAGGAGTTGTGACGAAGACTTTAGAATTGAAGAGCTTTACTTTTATATTTTTAATTAGTATGATAAATATTGGAATAAGTATTATGATTATGATTAATTATGCTTTTTAAGTGGGAGATTACAAGCCTACAAAAAGCTCTCGCTCTCGCTCTCACTCTCTCGGAGTTAGTAAGATTCGCAGAGATCTCTCTCAAAGCTAGAAAACCAATATATAAATTATATAGATTTCAACGTCAATCACGCAAACATCATAAACAATAATTCATCATCATCAACACGTAATGGTGGGGACCCAAACCCTAAGTTTCGCAAACACACACCTGAACGTTATAATATTCAATTCAATACCCTTCATGTCATAACATTAAAATGCCCTTTCAGACAAGCCAACTGGGAAGTGTACAATAAGTAAAGGTGTCCACTTTTTTTCTTCATGTCCATATCTAAAACTTAGTATGAGTCACAGAGCCATGCTCCAAGCTTATTCTTGTAGCTTTGACTTTATTCACTAAATTGCCATCATGGCAAGTGATGGCATCTGTAAGAGGAATCCAAGTTGGAATAATGTGAACGGATAAAGATATTTGATATAATATGATCAGAAAAATATTGATAACATATTTCTCTAATATTAATATAAAAAAATGTCAAACGGGTGTTTTTCATATATATATATATATATATATATATATATATGTATTTATATAAATTTGAACCGCAGTCATTATAAGACAAAAACGGTGTTAAGAAAAATCATGTGAAACAAAAGCGTATCTAACATGAGATGTTATGTATAGGGGATGAGTGAATATGATGTTGACACGTGGGTCATGCTGCAGTGATTAGTGGGGCGGTGTTAATTAGATCTGAGCGCCATATATGGTCTGGTTTTAGGATCTTGGATGCTATCATACTATGAAAAAACCTCTTCTCTCTATCTCTCTTGTAGGGCCCCTTCCACTTTTTATAGAGACATATATATTTATATGTTCGATGGTGGTGGGTGAAGGTGTCGGCTTACAGTTTATTATTTTCAGATAAATCAATTTGTGCAAATTTTATTAAATAATTGTATTATTTGTATTTTTCATTCACGTGATAAGATACAGGTTAGTGATACTGTGAAAGAATTTAAGCTAAAAAGGGAAAGAAATAAAATAAACTAATGAGGTATGGAAGCGTTCAATATATCTAATTTTGGGACATTCAATTGCTTTCATAATTCTTGTATCAGCTGCAGAATTAGTTGGAGTCAGCAGAAGCCAGGGTGGGAGGATAGAGACATGGGCTTCACGGTGGTTTATTGGGTTTCGTTCCTTCATGAATAATATATGTTTTAAATGAAAGAATATATATATGTGTATGATATTACAAAATTATCCCATAAAGAGAATTTTCGATTTCAAATGGAACATCTGTTTTCTGAGTTGATGTTAATTTGATTAATTAATAGTTTAATAATCTTAAATAAAGTCATGGAGGAAAAGCGTGGCATGAGCATTATGGAGAGATATATGTGTACGTGTCATAGATGAATTGGGTCACAAATGAGCTGAAGTTTGAGTTGAGTCAGAACTTTAGCAAATGTTTATCAGTTGATTATGGAAGATGCTAAGCTTTGATTGGCCATCTAACTCAACGTTCAAATGCATGAAATTAAGGGTGAAACAATTGCCAAACAACTTTTCTAACCTGTTGAAAAATTCTTATTATAGGAACGCTTATTAGACACGAGTCAAAATTAAACATGTATAAATGTAGATATATTTTTAGCATAGTACTTATATTCTCACGGAGTTTTAATTTAATAAGCTTAAAATCACCCCAACCCTAATTCATAGAAGAGAGATTCCAATGACACTTTCTCTCTCTACTTTTATAGGTTATACGACATACAAATTATTAAAATATGTGATGGGTTGGGATGATAAAGGAAGCAATGGGTCCAACTGTCTAATAAATTTTGAATGAGTTAGTCAGCTAGTTTAATGCCTTTGATATTGCTATATATAAATAATTCACCAAACGCAAGTTGATTTGTCGAGACTATGAGTTGCCCTTCAAAATAGCTACCATTTATTTTTTAGTGAGTCACACCTAATATGCATAATTTATACACATACAGTGCCTCGTACATACACGAGGGAGAAGTGTGTGAAGCTAAGGAAAGAATGAATAATAATATATGGCTCCTCTCCAAAGCCAATCATATTATAAGTTCTGTGCTAAAATATAAGAGTCAATTTAATACTTTTAAATTTAAATTTTATTTGTGTTAAAATAATATTTGATTAATAAAAATTAGGTCTCATAGATTTAAATTAATCATTAATTATTAATTTTAAAATATTGAATCATGTTTATGAAAAAAAAATTATACAAAACTTTTATCCCGTGCCATACTCCCATCACATGCATCACATTCTCAATCCTCGTCCTCATTCTCTCCCTCTCCCATTTTTTGCATCTATTAAATATGTTTTTCTTGTTTATTTTATTCCAAACTGTTCACCAGTCAAATAATTGATTAAAAGTGTGATGATTTAATAAGGCTGATTATATGCATGTTTGGAATCCAAACTTAAATTTAAATAAACTTTGCTAAATAATGTATCTTTTAACTGGATCCGAATCTGAAAATAAAATTAAGATAAAACTGAGTTTATAATGTAAGTGAAATAAGAGATGGCCAAATGAACATAGGGTCTGTAATTTGAAAAAGGAGTAAAAAGGGAAATGGAGATAAAAACTGTATGAAAAGACAAATTCCAAGCCTTTGGGTGCCTTCCTGTGGGTCTTCTTCTAGGGTGGTGTTCCCATATTTTCACACACTTTCTTCTCCTTGGGACATCCGCAAGGACCCCACTTTCGTGACCCTTTATTTCTAAATTTCTACACAAAATTTGCTTTTTGTCAAAACCCATTGATCCAATCCTGGGTATAAATAGACCCCAACACATGCAACAAACTACTCCTTAATACAAACACATTAACCCTTGTTGTTCCACACAAACTTTCACTCCCCCTTCTCCATGGACACCCAACTTGACTACAAAACTCAAAGACCAAACCCCACTTCCCCAACGGCCTTGAAGCTCTTTGGTTTCAGCGTCCACGAAGACATCACCATGGAAGACGAGGTCGTCATGCATGATGACGGGGAAGACACACCCTCCAAGGCCACTTCCACCTCCACCTCCCCTTCCCCATCTCACTCGCCGGAATCCGCCGCAGCCGGTGCCGCCGACGGACCTCCTTCCTCCGCCGACCGGAAATACGAGTGCCAATACTGCTGCCGAGAGTTCGCAAATTCACAAGCACTTGGCGGCCACCAGAACGCGCACAAGAAAGAGCGTCAACAGCTCAAGCGTGCGCAGTTGCAAGCAACCCGAAACGCCGCCGTTTCGTTCGTGCGAAACCCGATGATCTCGGCCTTCGCCCCTCCGCCGCACCTGCTGGCTCCGCCGGGGACCGTGGTGGTCCCGGCGGCCCCGTCCTCGTGGGTGTACGTGCCGCCACGTGCCGCGCCTCCTCCCTTCCACGTGTCAGTGTCGCACGGTTGCGCCTTCCCGTCGGCGAATGCGTTGAGTAGTATTAACAGTAACAGTAATAATAATAATAATAATAATAATAATAATAATAATAATAGCAACGTGGGTGTGAAACCAGTGGGTGCAGGGATGTTCCCCTGTGTTGGCGTTGTAGGGGATTCCTCATTAGCTTTGTCAACGGTGCAGGTTCAGGCCCGGGCCCACCATGCTAGGATTGATGGGCCCTCTTTGAGTAGGTTCTCCAAAGGGGACGGTGGGCCCAAGTTTGATGATGCATGGGGCTTGGACTTGCACCTTAGCCTCGCTCCAGCTGCGCCCTCTTCTCTCTAACCGGCTCGGCTCAGCTTGAAATTAAGTGAGTGTAACCGTCTCTTTGTTCAGGCTTCACGCGCCCTACATATGCCTCTTTCACCTTCATATATTGTACATTTTTCATATTTAATTGCTATTTTTTCAAACTAATTATTTCACTTACTACGCATATATACAACTGCTCATATACCATTCAAATATTTCCACATCACATCCAATCTACATTCATATCTTCAATTATGCAATTAAGAAACTCTTCCTAATTAATCAAACCAATTAGAGCAACTTTAAAGACAGTACATACCTTAAATCTAAGAAATTAACCAATTACACTATACTAGAGTTAATTTGTATGTAATAAGGAAACAGATGTCACTTATATAAGTAACTGTTTTCTTATCAACGTGTGAACACACTTATATATATCAAAAGTATTGCAACAATCGAGTATCATCGATAAATGATATATGTGTAATTCAGCATGGGATCGGTGCGCTGATTTTTATTGAGCACATTGTGGTCCATTAATTTCACCACATGACAAGAGATGCTATTATACCTTTCAGTAAACAGAAAATACATAATTTTCCTTTTCATCGGTTACATTTTATAATAGCAAAAATCTTGCTAGTGCGCAAACAACTAGATTAAAAAGAATTCAAACATCCATTCGTATATATGTTGATGCTTAGATATTTGGATCGTGACTACAACATTCTGTAGTGGGAAGAGTGACCGAATATGGCATTTATTTTATGAGTTAATCACTTATATTCAGTGTAAAAAAAATTTACACTAGTAATCAATTATATTTTTTAATTGTGTCATGTCATAATTGGTTGTCAGTGACAATGTATAAATGATTAACTCTTATTTTATCGTGTCGAAGATTTGAAGTCTGGCTTTGGCTTATTTACTAGGATATTAATATTTTAACCACATATATTCTTATGATGAAAAATAAATAAAAGAGGTTAGACTTGGACCGGCAGGATACAACATTAATTAATTCACTTGTTATATCAAAACCAAACTATGTTTAGACACGTTTTACACAGAAAGTACTACAATCAATGTATGCCATTGTTTTGAAGCAAAGCAAAATTTTTTAATAAATTGCATAAATTGCTTTAAAATCTCATAGTATAGTGGATTTGAGTCTAACTCAACCCTACAAAATCGGCTTGTAAGGTGAGAGTTGTTTTTAATTTATATATTATTTAATTATCTAATCTCTAATCGACATGAGACTTGAATTTTTTCCAATACATCCCTTCACGTCTAATACTATTAGGCTTGGTACATGAATAAATTATGGATGATCCTTTTTAATGATCTAGGGTTGGCGGGACTTGAGTTTTTTTTTTTCTCAATATCATTAATAAGAATGTATGTCAAAATTAATTTTTAGCTATAATGTTTTTTATTGAAACATGTATTTTTCTAATGAATGAAAAATACAAGAATTAAAATAAAACAGACAAGTACTATGCAATTTGACAAATCTTAATTTCAGCTGTAATTTTTAATTAGTGCGTGTTTGGTTTCACGTTTGAAACGTGAAAAATCACGTTTAACGTGGAAGCTACAATGTGTAGCTTCACGTTAAACGTGATTTTTCACGTTTCAAACGTGAAACACCAAACACAGGCTTAGTAGGACAAAATTTGTATTCAGATGATCGGTCTTTGAAAGTATTGTACTTAATTGATGTGAAAAATGACAAAAAGATAAAGCATCCCAACGTATGGTAATCGCTCTCAAAGCTTGTTATATACTAGAACATATCTATATGCATATTTAGCTTAGCCACTAAGGTTTTAAATTGTAGTCTTAATCATGGTTTTGTCGTGATTTTTTAATTTTACCAAAAAAAAATGCAGATAAATGTGATGATGTAGCTATAATTACTGTCAAAATAAGATCCCAAAAACCTTAACGCTACTATCGTAACAAATCACTTTTTAAAATGTTGTTAGCCATGAATATAGATTTGATGCGAGTCTTCTCTATTTATTATGTTAGATACATTTCTGCACATATTATGCAGATCGTGGTACGCAATTTTTTTACCTTCCTTTCATTGCTTTTATTGCTTCTGTGTCCTTCGATCAACGGTTAAAAGAGGCGCTGATCGTGAGAATAACAATGTTGTCAGAATCACGTGGTCACAACATATGAAGCTCCATGTCTATTATTGAGCAATGACACGATCCTAGGAATGCTTTGAAAACAAATTTTTCAACAATAATTATGAAATTTTACTCAAGTGTAAACGGGAAGTTTCTGGGTAAAAATTTAATTTGTGCAACATATGCTGGGAGGAGGGCATGATAACTGGTCTGTTTCTTTCTGTCACTACGTTATGATACCACATTTGATGCCTTATTAAACACGAATACCTTATAGCTGATTGGAGACATCAATGAAAAAGCAAATAATTGTGTCCCTTGTTACCTAAATGGTTAATATGCTTCAATAACATTAACCATGCAAGAAAGAGAAAGTGAATCTCCGATGAAGATTGATGTATTAATTCCATTGCCCCCTTAATCGATTTTTAAGATCTTTGTGTCTCTCAAAGAACGTGAAATATTATTGCAATATTTCTAGACGCTAAAAGCTTAATTCAACCCTTCGATGGTCTTTTGGTACCTTATTAATTTTCTTCTTGAATAGAAGAGTTGATAAAATGTGGGACCAATATAACAAGCAGAATAATGTGTGAAAAATGCAATGTGGATGAGCCGATTAAAAAACTAGTACTCGATTCAAACTCAACAATCTTTCGTTGTCTTCCATAATTCACTGAACAAGCTTTGATATCTGTAGGTTGCTGTCCAAACACATGGAAGTTGAGTATTTATTTGTTGAGAAAATAATAGACAAGAATCACTTTTCACTCTGAAGAGACTTGTGGGTAAGAGTAAGACAAACCTGTTACTAATATTTAAAATTGGAAATTTATAATTGCAAAATAAATTACTTATTTATTATATTAAAAAATGTACAAATTAATATGTAATAAGTGTTCTATTTTTTAATAAAAAGATTCCATTTGTTGTGTGTAATACAAATTGATGTGTGGTAACTTGTTAACATCAGTACCTTTTTCACTGTTTATTAAAAAGATATATAGTGTAATGTAACACTTGTAAAGAAATAATTTGAGGTCTCAAATTAAATCTGAAGAAAACTTTCTTAACGGAGAAACGAATAAACTTTGGGGGAGAGAGTGACGAGCTAGCAAGAAACGGTCATGTTGACAAGTGGTATATTCCCAAAATTCTCAATCTTTATATCTTTTTGATGACTTAAAGTGAAGTTCAGAAATTGATCAATGTATATTTAATGTATTTAGGATAACGCAAGGTCGGTGCTTTTCCCACCCATTATATATACATCGAGATCTTTAATTCAAACATGTCAAACCCAAAAGAAGATTTGGTCACTTTAATCAAAAGTTAAGGTGGATGATTCTATATCTGCCTAGCTTAGCCATAATCTTGGTTTTAATTTATCTTAGTTGGAGACAGGTGGAGTTGGTTTCCGCAAGGGTGGTCAAGCAAAGAATATGAGTATATATTTGAGATTTTATTGCGGGGTTGGATATGCTTTCGGTTGTTCCTTAATTTCTCTTATTTTTGTTCGCTTGAATAAGTAATTTTCGTGCGTGGAAGAACAAAAAGGTTGATTCATTTCAGAACCATGATGATATATATATTTGATAACATGAGCAGTTAGAAAAGCTTGTTACTTCTTTAGAGCTTTTAGACATTGTAGAATTAATTATCCTTTAGTGGTTGGTGAGGAAAGAAACTAGAAAAATCTAGCTCAATCCCCCACCTTTACAGTACCATCGAATTGACACAATATTAGCTGTGAATCCGATATATATAGACCCTACTATTATTGAATTCCTAAGTTAATCTAACATGGCTTAATTACACACGCAAGTCACCAACTAATTAATAGTCAAGCTTTCTTGTTAATTAACTTTAACCCGTAAAATGAAAAGGGAAAGCCACAGCAAATAAGTTGAACCATCTTTTGGTTCCTTGTTAGTCACTTTAATCCATTTAGAGACATGATTAAGTTTGAGCATAATAAAGAAGTTATTATTACCATATCCTTTTTTTTTTCATTTCATTTTTTATTTTTTCCCTTTCAATCTCTCTTTTTCTTGTACCATTTTCAAAAAAAAAAAAAAGATAGCCCTCCACAAGCATGCATGTAGCTTGGGACCATGAAATTTAATTGGTTCTCTTAACGGGGAAGTCATTTGTCCTCATTTTAATTGGTTTGAGCTTGATGGTGAAGTTAATTAAGAGAGAATTGCTCAGCCATTACGCTCAATGTACTAGACATCATACCCAATCTAAATGAAAACATGATTGTTTGTTATAGCAGATAGTGACTTTTACAAATTACTAAACTCCGAAATTCTGTCTTTACGTACCAAAGCTTTACACTATTGGTCAACAAGGATTTCACAACTATGATGTAAAGGGACATGAGTTGGAAGCTGACTAAGACATGATTTTTTTTCCCTTTCTTTTTCTCCTTCCCCACAAACTTGGATATTGATTGGCTTCCCCATGTTATCGCAATGGGAGTACTTGTTTGGAGGCAGTTAGTTGGTTACAATTAATTTTTAACTTTTAAAAGAAACTCTATTCATATTCATACTTTTAACATATCTTTCTATAATCAAGAGAAAGATAGGAAGAGAAGAGAAATAAATTGTAAAAAATATATGTAAGAATAGAAAAACTCTAATTTTGGTATGAAGCTTGATTAAACCAGATGAAGAAATGTAAATTATAATTAATTATATACAGCGCTTGACATTATAGAATACGCAAGTTGTTTACCGCAAGAGTAATAATGCATGAAAGTCTTGCTTTTTGAATCGGACGCATTAGGTATAATCATTTTTGTTGGACCTTTTGCTTCCAATTGGTATATGCATGGTTGGGAAAAAGTAGATTAATCATGGCAGAGAAATTCATTTTAATGCGGGAAAAGGAGAGTAAAAAATATAGCGTATATAACATGTTACAAGGATAAAATCTGTGACTTTTGAATCTTGTTCGCTGTATCACATGAATCATGAACACAAATAGTATCTGTGCTATCATGAACTTAAAAAATGTTCTACCCTTCTTTCCTGTGAATTCTATGGAG